TATAGGAACATTGAGTTAATCCTAATCCTAGTAGGAATAGGAAAGGGAAAATAATAATTGTACTCTAGAGAGTCACTGTTTGGTAAATGGCTGTTAGCTGTTAGCTGATTGGGTTAATTAGAAAGTATAGGCCCTGTTTGGTAAAATGGTTGTTAGCTGATAGCTGTTTGCTGTTAGCTGATTGTGTTAATTAGATGGTATAAATAGTTGATAACATTAGCTGATTGTAGAAAAGTGTTTGGTAAATTAGCTGTTAGTTGATAGCTGTTTGGTATAATTTCTTTTCTCAAAAAGCTAATTGAAAAAGTTGCTAGGAGTAGCTTTTTAAATTTTAGCCTTTTGGAGTTGCAAAAAGCTAATTAACCAAACATCTATATTGGTATTTTAACTAAATCAAACAATTAATAGTGGTCAAATAAGCCAAAATTGACCTATAGGCCAATTTTTTACCAAACAGGGCCTTAACTAGTTGATAACATTAGCTGATTGTAGAAATGTGTTTGGTAAATTAGTTATTAGCTGATAGCTATTTGGTATAATTTCTTTTCTCAAAAGGCTAATTGAAAAAGTTGCTTTGAGAATCTTTTTGAATTTTAACATTTTGGAGTACAAAAAACTAATTAATCAAACACTTATATTGATTTTTAAACCAAGTCAAACAACTTATAGTGGTCAGATAAGTCAAAATTAGCCTATAGGTTAACTATTTTACCAAACAGGCCAGTATATATTTTTGTCATCATATGATCTAGGGAAAGTAAAAAAGTGAGAAAAAAAATAGATCATTCTTAAAACTAATAATCAATAGTACTCCGTATTAAGTAGAAAGTAAAATGAAAGTACATGTAATACAACTAGAAAAAAGTGTTAGAGAATTTCCTATTATTCAAAGTTTTGTGATGGCCCTGCTTTTTCTAATGATAATTAATAGTGGGGCATCCTCAATAGTTAGGAAATTTTACCCCAGATTTTTGTGAGCCCCAACATCCACCACATCATCTACTATCTCATTCAAATATTCAATCACAAAATATCTTCTTTCCATTAGTTTTATGTTTTTTTCACAATTTTTTGTGGACCCACTATGTCACTACTATATTTTAATTATTTCTTTATTTATCATCATTATAAAAATTATAATTACAATTATTATTTTTATTATATTTAAATTACACATATCCAAATTAAAATAAATTTACAATTATAAAATTTTACAATTGTTAATATTTTTACTACGTAAAAATTTAATAACAATATCCAAAAGACAAAAACTTAAAAAATAATAAAAATAAGTAAAAAAAAAAAAACAGAATAAGAAATAGCTGGCCGTTGGCCAGCTTAAAAACAACAAATAAAATTAAATTTCACATGCTTAAAAAAAATAGAGCTTCAATTGAGCGCCCAAGCATATGGTCTCATTGGTCCGTGAATTGGGCTGAACTGTTTTCTTCTTTTTTCAAGCACTACTGGAAATTATTGAATTTCCGACCACTTGAAAGTGATCTTAAATCAAGTTGAAAGCAAAAAGTGGTCGGAAATAGCAACAAGGATTTTTCCGGATATCAAAATTTGTCGGAACAAGGCTTTCGACTTGATTTAAAATAGCTTTCAGGTGGTCGGAAATTTCAGAATTTCCAGTAGTGAAGCAAAATTTCATGTTTTGCGGGAGAAAGAACTTCTTAAAATTTAGACCTCCCATTAGCTCAAAATCTTGCTCCTAGTTTTTCACTATTCTAAAATTCATCTAAGACGTGCTATTGGGGATGCCCGTCATTTTATTTGGTCTTTCAAGTTGATTTTTGACCATATATTCTTCCATCCTTTTCTTGTTTGTTTTCTACTTGTGTCCCTAAAGTTTGAATATGAAATCTATGATTATTGATTTTGAGCCTCATTTATGAGCCATATATAATAATAGCTCATCGATCAATTAGTATGAGTGAACTAAAACTTCAAATATTGGAGAAGTTATGTTTCCAATTAATCCTTGACACCATAACATGATCAAAGGCTCTACATTGAAACAGGGAATGAAGAAGAGATAGGCCGGCCGGGGAATCCAAACTTTAAATTATCATATCATACATGCATGCTGCCATATATATACAACCAGAAATTCTTTAATCTCCATGCATTTCATAAGGATTTGGTGATGGAGCTATGCCAATGTGAGGAGACGCGAGAGAGAATGTAAACGATTGAACGGAAGGTGTTTGCTGCTATCCTCGATTTGATCTGCCCTCTCTTTGGGATAGGCCTGGCGCCCCCGAGGCTTTTGAGTGCTGCTGCAGAAGCCTTACTGATCTTGTGATTCATGACTGGAATTGAATTAAGCTCAAAGCTGCAATCTGATCTTTGGAGTTTGATGGAAGGTATTATTATGTGCTACTTTAGAACATAAACAGTTTGGTTGGTGTTTGTTAGAGTGAGTTGGCCTGGGGGGTTTATATATATAGCATATATGAGAAGTCACAAGGATTTAATGCAAAACCAGGGAATGGAATGAAACCAGTGGGTTGAGAAAGGTCTAAACATGACAGTGATCCAGTCAGTGGGTTTTGGTTGCATGACAAGCAGGATTGCTAGCTTGCTTCAACATGATTCCTTCCATCCCAAGTTGAATTTGACAATTAAGATTCATTGGTGTGAACCTTTTTGAAAAGGAACACATGTGGGTGCAACTTTTCTTAGGGGGTACCGTGGTTTTGGTTGTCAAGAAAGATTTTATTTTTTTAGATTTTTTTTTGATAACTCCTTATCGCTCTGTGAAGGAGGTAAATCGCAGAATGTGTGACGCAATAGTTAGAAAACAAACCCGTGACCTCACGAGAGCATCGTCATCAGCAGGCTTGCCCTTTGCCACTGCGCCATATGCCTCAAGGGCTTACTTTAGCTTTATTATCATGTTCGGTGACTATTTTAACTCGAAAAATTAATTTGAGTCAAGGAATATAATTTTTGAAATTAGAAAAGTAAATTTCAGTTAGGAGGTCAAATTCCTTTTTCAGATAGCTGAAATGTGTAAAATTTATTTAATTACTTATTTGCCCTTTATTGGGGCCAAAATTGACAACCCTATATATATATATAGCCCTATATATGCTTAATTTTGTCATCGCACATTAGCTTCTAACAAGAGCATTAATTGAGGGCAATCCTACGTTGATTTGGTTGTTGACTTGATAACTACAATATTATAACTTTAACTCTAGAGTCGCAAGGCGGGATTTACCTAGTGCACACCCTCAAGTAGTGACTGCGGGTTACAGTGGTTGGAAAAATTACATTGATAATGTGAAAATAAGGAATGTTGTGCCGTGGTATATATAAGCATTGTCGTCATAGAAGTGAATTTGCCGCTACCGGTGTAGGCTCACAACAATGGCGTTGGCCTCAGAGATACACAGCAATCCCGACCTCCGTGCACCCAGAGCCAGGATTGAAACGTGCACGACATACTCAAAGTAATAAAGGAACAATAAAGAGACCAATCAATCTCTATCTGTTGTTTGAACTCATGTAGTTCTCATTTAAATAGTATAGGCCAAGTAAATATAAGTCTAGACATACTATCATAATAGATTTGACCAAATGGTGAATATTAATCAATACTAAATCACCTATATTTTTAATAGCATTCTACTTGTACGGGGAAAAACGATTGGTAAAATTAGGTTGTTTTATGCTCTGCTGAAAATTGACAGCTAATCTAAAGCATTTAAATAAGAAAGCGGCGGGTCAGACAGAACTCATTGTTTAAGGTTGTGTGGCCTGAAATATAGTCCAAGTTGCTTGTGGTTAATATAAAGATTCATAGTAACAGTCCTTTTTTGGCATTGTTAACTGAAAATCTGGTGTGATTTTGAGTCAGCTATACATCCTTATCCATCTCACCAACCTGGGAATGTGACTGTGAAAACAGGGAACCGTCACTGCTAGTTAATATTACGAGATTGCCCAAAGCGAAATTCTCTTACCTTCAAGCCACATCACTGCTAGACAAGATAATAGAGAGAAAAATTTCAACAATTCAACTTGTGTTTAGTATCACAAAAAACACAACATTAAGTAAAATTCATATACTGTGATTTTTAAATTCTAATTCTATATTCTTATTTATAATTTTATTATTCAAAAATTAATTGAATTGCCCTGCTTTGGCTCTTGTGTTGGATTGTCCTGGGGGCAACCGCTCCTCATCCCGTCCAACTCCCTTATATTTATGTATGTATATATACCTATATATATATAGTAGTAACTTATGTGTAAAAATAAAATGTATATATAAATTATTGTTTATGTAGGTTAGTTGATTGTTTTTTAAAAATTTTATGTTATATGTCCTAATATTAAACCCCAACAATAACAATCCCCTTTATTTTAGCTTTTCTAACCCTTCACCTTAGGGGAGGGCCTTTATTTTTTGAACTCATTTAAACTTAGCTTTATTTTACCTTTTTTTTTTAACCTTTCATAAGGGGAGAAGATAATATATTTGTGATTCATATTAAATTTTAAAAATTTTAATATTTTTGAATTATCTAAACTTCGCCCCTAGTGACCATATTGCAATTTTTTTTTTTTTTTTTCAAATCAAGGATAAAAAACCATTATCTAAACTAAATAGTAATTATATATATATATATATATATATATATATATATATATATATATATATATATATATATATATATATATATATATAATTGACATTAAGTTTGATTAATCGAATCAAACACACAAAACATATTGAAGAAGAGATTTGTCATTCATAAAAATAGAGATTATTTTGTAGTCTGATTTGACTTTTTTTAATTCTTGGGAATAATTCTAAGAGAGTTTGATATTGGTTATACTCATTCTTTTCTTCAGTCCAGATATTCAGCGTATTCTTTTCAACATAATTTTTAGTAAAAAAAGAAAAAGAAAAGAAAACAGAACATAACTGTAAAGCTAGCTTTCAAGATAGAGCTTCCATAAAAGGTTCTTTAATTGGAGCCTAAGACACAGTCAAATCATCCTAAAAATAATTGTTCCTTTTCTGAAGCAAGGTATAATATATCACATAAACTCACCAAAACCTTATGAATTATGCTTTTCCTTCCATCAATCCAATCCCTTAAATGGTCATGTTTGCAGGAAGGCCATCACCGTTAACATGGCACTTTCAGGCCATGCTATACAGCTAACGTTACGCCCCAAAGCACGGGGAAGCCATCGCCCTCCGCTATTCCCACCACTCAAACCATGGCGGCCCGAGCTACAAGCATTCAAGAGAAGAGGGATGATGAAGAACATACCTTTGCGCCTGGTAACATCAGCAGCCATTAGCAGTGGTTTTGGCACTGGAAATGTCGGTTCGGATTCTTCATTGTTGCAGACAATCAAGGCTTTCTACTACAGCATCAACACAAAGGACTCGAAGAGCCTCAAAGTGCTCTTGTCTGAAGATTGTTTCTTTGATGACTTCTCCTTCCCCGCGCCATTCCAAGGGAAAAAGGTCTGTTGTTTTTGTTCCTCATCACCTCGTTTCCTACTATGCCCACAATGTCTGATCTTCACAAATTGCTGCAGGAATCTTTATATTTTCTCGAGCAGTTAACCACATGTATGGGTCAGAACATGGAATTCAGTATAGATCATATTTGTGAAGGGGTGGACCAAACAGCTGTGGTAAACTGGCATTTAGGTAATTCAACTCACTCTAATCATATCATATTTCTAACAAAACACAATCAAGAACCCTAAGATGCAGACTAATTGTAATTGCAGAATGGAAGAAGAAGCAGGTTCCTTTCACTAGAGGTTGCAGCTACTATGAATTATCAAGAGAAGGAGAACGTCTCGTCATTAAGTAAAACCTATTCTACCAAACAAATTCTGAATTTGATTCACTATACCAAGTACCAATTAACTAACATAATTCCTCGGCATTAAAAACAGGAAAGCTCAAGTTATCATCGAATCACCAGTGAAACCGGGAGGCTTAGCTCTGGTATGATCTAATGTTTCATTGAAGAGTACTATTCTATTTCTCGTATATTCTCAAATGCAATTCATACATACTGTCACTTGACAAAACAGACTATGTTCAAGGCCATAACTTCGCTTTTTGATGCATTCCCGGATGCTACTGAGAGTAAGTGAATTCCTCTCCAATGTGTTTATCGCCTCGCCTCACAACTCATTTCTAGAACATATTGACAGCATATATATATATATATATATATATATATATATATATATATATATATATATATATATATATCTTTTCATGCAGGGTTCCTAAGGAGCCCAAATGTTATGTTTCAGCTGTTACTAAATATATACAAGACGGTTTTAGGGCCTATGCTAAGCCCGGTTGTCTCGTGGTACATCAAACTCATGAAACTTACTGCTACCTTTCTCAACCTCGCGTTCAAGGTAGTGCAATTCATTGTAAAGATTTTCAGCAAGTAAAAGACGACACTCACAGAGGTGCACGCAATATCTATCTTATTTATTTATCATTATCTCACATTAAAATACAAACCTTTCGAGGCTTCTCTACATATATATGGCCATCGCTTCCAACTCGATCTACTTTCAAGATAGCATTCCATACCTAACAACAACATATAAGGACACAACAACTATTTTCAGTCATCGTTGCCATCCCGTTTGGACCATGATTGCAACAACGAAAGAGCAATCAGAGGTCCAATGAAAGGCGGAAGTGGTGGCGGTCTGCTGAAAGCAACAACAGGGTCGTGATTTTCCTTCTCAATCTGTCCTTCCCTGGCATCATTGTTTACTTGTCTTCTAGGCGTCATAGTTCCAACTGTACCAATCAAATCACATTACTTTCAAATCAATTCTTGAATGTATTTTGAAGTAAATAACAAAGCAAGCTTGAAATTAAAGAAAAAGCTAAGTGGTAAAGTTATGCACTTATTAATTATACCCCATCTTCCTTTTGGTTTATGAATGGATTTAAGTTTCTCCACAGCAAACCACAAACGAGCAGGCTCACGCATGGCTAACAACAGGCACCTAGCTTTTTATGGTCACTGGATTGCGAAAATCAGAAACTTAGTTAATAACTTCCACTACATGCATTTGAGAAATTCAATTCAAACTACAACATCCTCTCTACTTGATAAAATTCAAAGAAAGCTATATATTCCATACACCAAATAATGCACAGAAGCAAAGAATCCATAGCATGCAACAATCATTATTTCTTCTATAACTATAACAATATCTTCCATACAGGGCACATCTCACTCAACTCAATATGCAAGAGGATCAAGATTTAGGGGATGTTGGTAAATAGTTGTTAGCTGATTAGGTTAGTGGATTTGACTAGTCGATAGCATAAACTGATTGTAGAAAGATGTTTGGTAAATTAGCTGTTAGCTATAGCTGATTATATGCAAAATGATTTTCAAAAAACTGATCGAAAAAACTGCTTTGAATTTTAGTGTTTTGGAGCTGTTAGCTATAGCTGATTAACCAAGTCAAACAACTAATAGTGGTCAAACCAGCCAAGATTGTCTGAAAGTGTGCACTGAGTAAACTTAGCTTGTGACTTAGATATTAAAGAACTCGAACTTGGGGTTACCAAACTAATAAACCTAACCAAGGGGTTACCAGCCCTTCAACTGTTAATATCAACTTACCAAGGTTATTGTTACATATCTCAAATTTAGAGCATCTAAATTTATAGCTTGATATGGAGCTCATCTACTCACAAGTACTTAACGAACATAAATATTGTCAGTCTTATTGTCATAAACACACAACCTTCCGCTGTTTTAGAGCTTTTTCAATTTCATGGTTAGATGAAAAGACAAGAAATCTAACACAAAAAAAAAAAAAAAAAAAAAAGGAGAAACAGAACATACCCAACAATCATAATTGTAGTTCTTCGTAGGTTGTGAACTGTGATAGACAGAAAAAATGGAAGAGAACCTTGTAGTGCAAGGAGAAGGTTCGTGAAAGTTCGGACTTTTGGATCGGTTTTTGGTTTTGGGCCGTTGGATTAGGACCTGGATTTCTTATAAATAGGCTATTATTCCATTTTGGACTTTTACTTTTTAAACAGGCCCATATTCACAAAAGGTAATCATATTGTGTGGAACATGATCCACGCAACCATGTGAACTATATTATTAAATAATATACTTTCAATACATAAATAATGTACATTTAGTCTATTAAAAATGTACATTATATTCAGAAAAAAGTACTTTATTTGAGTAATATAAGTACATTATATATTCAGTACACAAATAATCTACTTTTAGTATATTAAAAATGTACTTTTTATTATAGTTCACGACACTGTGTAGACCATGATCCACACAATAATTTGCCCACAAAAGACAAGTTATATCGTGCACCCGGAATCCACGTTTTATATGTATGTGTATGCGTGCGCACGTGTGTGTTTACTATGTATACTGTCAAATTCTATTTCCTCACTTTTACTCTATAATATGGCAAATAAGGGTATGCTATTTTCATCACGTGGGTCTTCAAAAAAGTGTTCAGAGTTTAAGAGTGAGAGTAGAAAATGAGAGTATACATAATATTATTTTAAAAAATACAATGACATTTTCGTAATTATCACCAACATATTATGTGTACTCTCATTTTCTCCCACCCTAAATTTTTGGATGTGAACACTTTTATGAGAATGCACATGATAAAAATAATTTATCATTGTTTGTCACGCGTCAGAAATTAAAAATGAGAAAGTATAATGTAAGAATATACATAGAACTCATACACACACATATCCTTTTATTTCATAATATAGCATTTATCAACTTTATTAACTACTAATTTTACCAAATGCTTTAGTAAATGGATTTTTGGCAAACTTTTTGTAAATAGCTTTTGAGATTAACTTTTTCAACTCAAAAAGCTTAATTTGAAAAATCTAGTTGAAGTAGGTTTTCACTTTAGCTGTTTGAGAAAAAATTATCAGTTTTTTAAACCCTTATTTCTCTTCTCAAATTGTAGGGTCTCTTCCCCTCATTTTCATTTTAATTCAATTTTTTTTTTATTTTAAAATTTAATGTGTTTGTTTAAGAAAACTAGTTAATAAATATGTTTATTAAATGTTCTTTATTTTTTTTATTATTATAAAGAATAATTATAAAAATATTTTTTCTATTTCTATTTATATGTAATTATTAATAATTAATACCTAATAAAAATTATTATTATTATTATTATTATTATTATTATTATTATTATTATTATTATTATTATTATTATTATTATTATTATTATTATTATTATTATTATTATAAAGGGAAAATGACACTTTTTCCCCCTGAATTATATGGTTATAGCACATTTTCCCCCTGAGTTGTTCATGTAAGCACATTAGTCCCCTCAATTATTTTAAAAGTGGTAGTTTCTCCCCCTGATATATAAACTTGACATTTCTACCCTTAAAGAAAAAATTTTATTTATTTTTCTTCTCCAACAAATTATTGCTTATACGTAGGGTTGATCACAGTTCGATTTGAATTGAACCGGACACTATAGAAATCGAATTGAAAATTTCCGGTTATGATTCAGATCCAGAACCCAATATTTGGATTTTAATTTATTAAAATTATGAATCGAAAAAATTGGATCCTGAACCGTGAACCGACAGTTCCAGATCCGGTTCGTGATTTTGAACCGTCTTTATTTTAAAATATTTATTTATTTTTTATTTTTTAAATAGTCTAAATTCAACAATAAATGTATTTATTTATTTTTAGTTCGGAACATGAACCGGCCGTTCCAGTTCGTGATTTTAATAAACTCTAAATATCAGGTTTCGATTCTAAATTGTAATTGGAATATTTTAATTTAGTTGCTATAGTGTCTGTTCGGTTTGAACTGAATCGTGGTCATAATTTGTTGGAGAAGAAAAATAAATAAAATATTTTAAGGGTAAAAATGTCCATTTAACATTTCAGGGGGAAAAATAGCCACTTAAATAATTCAAGGAGAAAAGTGCTATAAATATATAACATAGGGGGAAAAAGTGCTATTTTTCATATTATAAATGCATGTCCTTAAAAAAGTCATTTTTTTTTTTTAATGTTATCCTCCAAAGTTACCGTTCATTTTATTAAATATTTTTTCGCGAACCGTAATTGGTCCTAGTCAAGCAAAAGTCTAGAAGGAGAGAGGGGAGGGGAGAGTTGAATAGACTTTTTGTAACTTTTTTTTTTTTTTTAAAAATACTTAAATTATGAATAGTTTACACATCAAACTCTTAAGCTTGCCAAATTTGATTTGTAACTTGTTTGAACAATTTGCAAAGTTATTAAAAGGGTGCATATGCACTTGGGTTTGATCAAACTAATTAACTAAATGAGTGAGGGAGTGAGAAATTGAGATGATATTTTTATAGTGGTTTGAAAATTTTTTATGTATCTCTTTTCCTTGACACAAAAGGTTTTCACTAATATTATTGTATAATATAGGTGAATGCATAATAGTCTTTCACACTAATTGCAAACCAAGCCAATTTTGTTAATTGCTCAACTCCTTAACAATCTTTGAACAACTTTCTTTACAGATCAGAGGTGCACACTTTTCATTGTCCCTAAAAGTATATTGCAACCGTTCTGTATATATCTTGAAGTTAGGAGTCCTTGAGATGTGTGCAAATAATTCTTTTTCATAAGATATTCTTTATTCATCGTATACTAAGACATACTAAATGTACTTTTGTTGATAAACCTTGAATTTGTTGCCTTGAGACTTGAGAGGATATGTCGTACTTGGCTTAGATAGTTCTGATGATTCTAGTTGCTATAATATGATAAAAACATCTATTGAAAGACTTCAACGCTTGAATTACAAAGTCTGTTGTTGATAAATATGTTGATCATGTACGTTGAAAGATATGCCGGATGCTCTATCAGAATATGTTAGAATTAATTATATATGGTAAGATTTACCAAGTAATTTTTCAGCTAGTAGCGAAACATAAACAATAGTTATGCTGTGCAACCATGTGCACCATGTATAGTGCACACGATTGCAAAACGACGTCGTTTTGATTAAAAACGCGCGTCCCATTTTAAAAAAAAAATTCAGTTTCGATTCTCCTCAACATCATTATTGTAGATATATAGTTATGAATTATTGTGGATATATAGTTATAAATTTGTGGATATATAGTTATGAATTTATGGATATTTAGTTCATTCATTGTGGATATTTAGTTCATTCATTCTGGGTTTTGTGTTATTCATTCACTGTGGATATATAGTTATAAATTTGTGGATATATAATTCAAATTATGCACAAAAAAATGCTATTGTCGAAAATCGAACCTAATTTTTATTTTCAAAGTGGGACGCGCGTTTTTAGTCAAAACGACATCGTTTTTGCAACCGTGAGCACCATGCAAAGCATAATTTGCGAAACATAACTTAAGTGAAAAAAAAAAAATTGTATGGAGGTCGTGGCTATGACTTATTGTTGGCCTGCTAAGGGGGCCAATTAAGTATGATTTATATATGTTCCGTGAAACATGTGGCGGTTTTAGTGCATTCAGATAATGATAGCCAACTAAGCAACGGTCCACAACCTTTCCACTCACTCCACTATCCATTAGGACCATTACATTGGTGGTTCACATCGAACTCATTCAAATCGTGACGCACATCATCATATAATTAATAGAACGAAAATTTTAGTTGGAAAACCTAACTGAGTTGATTAACTTGCATTATTAGTTTGATAAACACAACATTTTAAGTTCGAATTTAAGTTGGAGCTGTCTATTGGCATGATCAATTTGAGTCAATTAACTATAAGAAATCTATAATGGTTTACTTTATTGTGATTCTTAACTAGCTAAGATCATATATATATAGGATGAATTTCACCCGCAAATTCAGAAAACGATGACAGGTTTTTCTGTACGTAAATCAAATAATGAAATCTAGATTGAATATATAATGCTATTGGATAAAATTATTTGTATATACATGTTGTAACTAATGTAAGAGACGTTGAAGGTGCAAATACTTACTTTTTATTGAATTGTTTTGACTCTTCTATTTAATGTTCTCAGTTCTCCAAAAGAGTTTTCAATCACTCAAAAAATAAGTTTATGAAATTTGTATTTACTTGAAAGGTGTTATATAATATGTCTTGAATTCGAGACGGTGTATTATTTGTATTATTGAGAAGATTATGGAATAAGAATCATCTAAGCTAGAGTAGGCTACAGTGGATGTTGGGGTTTTAAGGGTGGCAAGTAATGATGAGAATACAATAGAAGCAAAATAATATCAAAATATCATATTTAATTAGTTGCCTAGAATTAAAGATAAGTTAGATCAGTAGGTGTTAGAGTTATACTCTAATGGTACATTTAGTTCGCGGAATAGACCTGCAATGAAATAGCATTTTCAATAATAGGCTTATTCCTTTGTTTGGTAAAAACATATATATTCCCAGGAACCATTGTTCCTGGGCCCCTCAAGAATAGTCTAATATTGCTATTTCCTATTTTACCCCAATTAAATTTATTTTCGATTTCACCACTACCACCGTCGTCACCACCACCACCAACACCACATATTTTTATAAGGGTATTTATGTCTTTTAAAACATATTTCATTTCTATTCTTTAAACCAACCAAACACTAATATAATTCCTAAAGTCTATTCGTTCCGCGAACCAAACAATAAAATACAATTCCTATTCTATTTCTTGCCTATTCCATTCATTGTGGAATAACATTCTTATTACCTCAAAATTCATTCCATGAACCAAACATGCTGTAATAGTTTAGATACAATAATTATCTAATCTATATATATACGTTGTGTTAAAAAAAAAAAAAAAAAAAAAAACTCTCATCTATTGTTTCAACTCTTGTATTTCTTTCCTTCTATTCGTCTAAAGAATTCTCATTTGCATAACAATTAATAGTGTTAATTTCATTGTTTGTTCTAAATTTATAGGTATC